AGCATATAGCCCTGCAGCGTGTGTAAGATTATAGTAACTACAACTGTGATACTTAATAAGTAGGACAGTAAGTATACATACTAAGTCCAGCAACCGAAGATAGATAAGTAGCACAAGTACAACATTAAGTCTGCTAACTACTTAGTAATCCCTGCAACTACATAGTAAGCACTACGCCCATGTAAGTAGGTTGTTTTCGGCAAACCTGTTGCATGGTGATAGCAAACGGGTCCTCATTGGGGAGTGATAGGTTGTTCCATGGCGGAAGACACCGCGAAACACCAGTGGAATCAGGTGCATGTGAGAAGGCTGGGCAGTGGCGAAAGGCCATGTTCGCACTTCGAGACGCTGGAGATTCTCAGGCGACTGGCGCCAAGTTGAGTGGGACTAACGACAGCAAGATGTGCCCAACAAGAGACAAAAAAACACAAAACACATTTTCTTGTCAACGTGAACTGAGACCTGCTTTGTCATTTTCTTTGTTTCGATATGTCAACCCCCACCTGAGAGCCACCTTGGGCAGGTCTCCCCCGACGAGTTTTCCTGGAGCCCCGTTTTGCGGGGCTGTAGCAGTTGGCCGCAGGCTTGCGTGCCTTGGCTGGTTGGGGTACAGGTTTGATGAGGATGGAATTGGTGTGATTTTTGGAGGATGTGAATTTCCACACTGCCCACAAATCAGCATGTCTTAGTTTCTTTGTGGAGTCAATCCAGATGCAATCCCATGTTTCGACATACTTGTCCATGTTTGTTTGTTTTTGACCACCAATGTCTTACGAACAGAGCAGCCAAACCGTTCCTCCTCCTTTTTGCAGGCTTGAAACGCAGTGTCGCTCAAATGTTCATTTTGTTCTGTTGGTTGAGGTATCTCAGATCAACCGATCAGTGAAAGGAGGGATTTCTGCCTTCAGAAATAGCACACAACTGGACCATCTCCATGCCCAATCCAATGCGTTTCAGACGAAGTGACGGACGCTCAGCGGGTCCGCGGAGATCACTGGATACGAAGGGACTCAGGGACTCCTTGGGAACCAATGCACCGAACCAATACATGGACACGCTGAAACCAACAGAGCGCTTGGGATTTGGGAGGTTTCGGATGCTGATGTTTCCGCATTCGCTGACGGGATTTACGGACGATGGCACGCTGGCACGCTGAGATGTGAGGCACCGGAAAGGCCGGAATTGAGCTAAGGTGTCCAAAACATGTTTTATGTTTCATATGTTGACCAGGAGTGTATTTAGGCCCGAAATTACAGAATGAACCAAACACTTAGACCAGGGAGCTCTGAGTGGATATTTGGATGAGTTGCAATGCTTCAAGGCTTTACTGATGGCGTTGCCCCAAGAGCGCCTGAACTTTGGCGGGGCTGCTTTGAAGCAATGTGGGGAGGTTAAGGGTGATTTAAGACTTTGTTCAACACTGAGGGTGGAGACCATGAATCTACACAACAGTTCTGGAGTGACGAGAGTATATGTAAAGATTTCAACACATTTTCAGCTTGTCATAGTCATATCGTCGGAAGATTCCATCTTACTCCAACACACTTGCTGGGATGTCAACAGCTGAAGGGTCTGGATGTTCATTTGTTTGATCAGAAGGCGAGTCTCTACTCCTCAGATTCCAGGCGAGCCTTTTCCGCCTTGATCATGTTCGCCGGAACCTTCGCCGATATAGTCGTCCCTACTTGGCCACCGTAATCCACGGCATGTGCTCAAATCGTTTTGGGGTGCGACACCTCGTCGTTTGAAGGCCGAGTCGGCCAAGCTTTGAGTCGGTGAAGCTTCAGAGAGAGTGTGACAATGGTCCTGGAAGATTGTCATAGGTGGGACTTTTATGCCACGTCCGCATCAGTACAGGCTGTACAGGTGTCCCCGGTGTCCCTGCCGGCCCCTTGAGCTTCTGGAGAGAGTCTATCACCAGCATGGTCATGAACGAATTCCGCAGGTCTTAAGAACACAAACTAGCAGAAAAGTCTATGGAAATAGTGCAATCGGTCAAGGACAATCTGAGTAAAGCCACCTACCAAGTACATAGCACCCCAAAAACAAGTCCATGCAAGAGGAGAAAGACGCGTGGGGTTTTCACCAGCTCATATCCGCTTCACGCCTCAAGGTTTGCGCCAGTTCGGCCATCTCCACCCAATTTTTTCCCTGGCACTTGGCCCAGTCTTTGCTGAGGAGACTTTTGGGAGGGGCGATGGGCTACCGGGAAGGAGGGAAAGAGTTGTTGTTCAACTAGCCGGTCAGGGAGACTTTGAGCCGGAAGGGCGAACTTCCTGAGCTCCTTCCTCGCCCCAAAACCGCGGCGAACTGCCTCCTTTGCCAGAAGAAACTGAAGTCGACGTGGGCCATCGATGCCAATCTGACCTGGGGAGACCGTTGCCGGGCAACGCCAAGCAGCTGCAACACCCAGTTCGGTTCGGAAAAGAGAGACCCGTCCGACTTAGCCAGCCAGCGGATGGCAATGAGAAAGGGTGTCTTCCGGATTTTAAAAGACACACACACCAAAAAGGATGGATCACTGTTTCTTAAGCAGCTCCAGTTCCCTGGCTGTGACCCATTTATATGGGATTGATGAATTTAAAAGAGAGATGGAACACTTCAGTCCGGATCTCGTATACATCATTTAAAAATATTTAAATCATACCCATGGAAGTACCCATGGAATGATGTATCCCGGAGGCAACATGTGGGAACATCATACTCGGGCTGTTCAACTCGGGCTGTGACCCTGCGTGCACTTCATGTGAATTCTTTCGCGTGTTCCACTTCTACACCATGCCACGAGACATCCAGGAGCATGACCGAGGCCTGGTCCCGAGACCTGGTCGGAGCTGGGGTGGTGGACACCGGACGCAGTTGTCCGGAGTGAGTGAGTGGGTCCGAAAAACATCGAACAACAAGTTCTCAGAAACAACCAGAGTTGTCCAAAGCACCAAGCACACCACCCTCGGACGAAACTCCCAGGAGGTGGTTTTGGAGTTCTGACTTGGAGAGTCAGAGGGGATCAGCATTGATTGGGAACCTCCCAACACTTGGAGTTCACCGGGAAAACTGTCAAAGAGAGACAGGTTCCAGAGATCTTTGAAGCGGATTAGGATTGGACGCGCATTGCTGGAGTAATTCCGGGCGCAGCAACATGCGGATTGATGCAAAACAGACCTCTAAACCACCAGCTGGGACGCCCTGAAAAAAAATACCGCGGTCCGTTCCAATGTTCTTGTGACCGGGTCTGCCCGGGCCTCACAGGCCTCACAGCAGCTGAACCTCGTGGCCTTCAACGCCTTGGCCACGGCGGCCGCGGCGGACCGCCGCGCGGCGCTCGGCGGCGCTCGCAGCGAGCTGCTTCGCCCGGTGGATTGGAGCGCTGCGCTGGGGCACCTCGAGCCGCTTGGGCACCACAGTGACGGGCACCAGAACTAATGAACCACGGGAAGAAGAAAGGCACCGAATCTCCGAATCTTAGGAAGCCAGGGACGAAATGAACATGGAACTAGTTGGGAAGAAGGGCTGATAGATCAACAAAGTATTGTAACAATTGATGCAACAAACTCTGAAAAGGTTCTTGGTTCCTTCTTTTTGAACTCTGAAGAGTCCTCAAACTCGATACTTTGTCGAACAATAAGGGTTGCCTAAGATCATGGACATCCTGGAAACAGCTTTCCATCTATTGTCTGGAGTAGATCAAATGGATGGCATCAAAGATGCCGTTGGTCCAAGAAACGAAGAACCGAGCCTCATTTAGATTGGGCTTGGGTGAATTAAGCATGTGTTCCTTTGCTGGAATGATGCAACATGAGATCGCTTCTGGAACAGGGGATGGCTTGGAAAACAAGAGTTATATCATGTTACAGATCCGTTTTTGGTGAAACTTTCGACTCTCAACTGCAGATTGCGCTTTCAACTCTGTTGGTTCCCTACCCCTCTGCAAGGTTCGAGTCCGAACTCAACAATTGGTTCGAGTCCTATGCGTTTTTTGCAGAAACCAATGGCTTGGACCATGTTCGCACTGAGGAATGTGTTAATCTCCGATTCTCATGGCTGTCTCTTTACATTTACAGTGGTTTCAGAGGTTCGATGGCACCCCTGACATGCCATCGAACCTCTGAAACGACTGTAATCTGACAACCCATTCTTTGGCGCATTCGGAACCCCTCGTTCACGCGTTCGGAACGCACCTCGTGTCGCACGGAGCTAGCCAGCCCGAGGCGCTGGCGTGGGCGCTCGTTGGGGTCGGACGAAGTGAGCGTTCTGGCGATCTACAAGGCATCGGACGAGTTGCGGCGGACCGGGGACTGGCGGTTTGGGGTTAAGCTGATGTGCGGGTGGACCAGGTGACCAAAGCTTCAACCTGCGGGCAGCAAAGATGCTGGGGGGTTCAGGATTTTGGCGCAACTTCTGCATCTATGGGTTGTGTTGATGGCATTTCGTGCGAGACTGGATGTCCACGACGTGTGTTTTCCACCAGAGAAAGTGGGCGGCCGCTGCACTCCATGCGACGCCAAAAGCCCCCAGCAACATCCAGATCTCACTTTTTGGACTTGCCATGTAAGGGTCTTTATAAACAAAGGTGCCACCCCTTCCCTTCCCTTCCCTTTCCTTCCCTTGACCCACCACGCTCCCCTCCCTCTTTTAGGCTGGACCGCTCTGGGACCTTGGTCTTCGCGGCTCGGTGTGGAACGCGCCGCGATCGACGCGCGCGACGCCGCGGGCTCGGGCTCAGTGGACTGTGTTCGTGACGAAAGGCCCTGCACACCGGAATAGTACCTTCAGTCAGTGGCGTGGTCCGTAGCCATTTTATCAGATTATCACAAAGGACGGACACGAAGAAGAAGAAGAAGAAGAAGAAGAAGAAGAAGAAGAAGAAGAAGACGAAGAAGAAGAAGAAGACGACGACGACGAAGAAGAAGATGACAAAGAAGAAGAAGACTAAGAAGAATAACAATAATAAGAAGAAGCAGAAGCAGAAGCAGAAGCATGAGAAGAACAACAAGAGGGATAAGACAAAGTTTTGCACGCGGAGGGCAAACATGACATTATTATCAATATGAACTAAAGCGTAGGATGCAGCCAGCTGTCACAGTTTTCATTGTTCAGCGCAAAGTTCGGTGCTTAGACGGCATGTCTGGAGTCTATCTGCCTGCCTGCCTGGCTGTCTGCCTGCCTGCCTGGCTGGCTGGCTGTCTGTCTGCCTGCCTGGCTCTGTCTGTCTGTCTGCCTGCCTGTCTGCCTGGCTGGATGTATGTCTGTCTGTCTGTCTGTCTGCCTGCCTGCCTGCCTGTCTGCCTGCCTGCCTGCCTGCCTGCCTGTCTGTCTGTCTGTCTGCCTGCCTGCCTGCCTGTCTGTCTGTCTGCCTGCCTGCCTGCCTGGCTGTCTGTCTGTCTGTCTGTCTATCTTGCTCTCATGCGTGTCCTTATATATGTGCTCCCATACGTGCAACGTGCACTCTCATGCGCGTGCTGTTACACGTCCTTTTATCTGATCTCCCTCTCCACCTCTGAACTCTGGACCCAGACCTTCAATTCCAGAACTGTGTCCATCATCACCACCATCGCCAACATCACCACGCCCACGACCGCCACCGCCATTACCACCACCACCGCCACCACTGCCACAATCACAATCACAATCACCACCACCACCAGCACCGCCGCCGCCGCCGCCACCACGACCACGACCGCGACCGCGACCCCGACCACGATCACCACCACCACCGCCACCACCGCCGCCACTGTCACCGCCACGGTCACGACAATCACCACCATCATCGCGACCATCACCTCTAACTGGAGCCCAATATGTCTAGATACCTTTAGGCAGCTAGGCATGTCTCTGGCCCGGATAATAGGTTTTTGACACCTTCACAGAGAAGAATCCTTCCACGGCCGGTCTCATGTAATTCTGATGGAAGTGCGACACGAGGACAAACAACAGGCTGGGTTGCGGGACTTGCAGTCAGCATATGTCAGCATCCATGAAAACTTTTTTTTTGATTCATAGATCTTGCCCACTGCTATCCTCTCACCGGTTGAGGTCCGGCAGTGCCCACTGCGATCTGGAGCTTGCTGTTCAGGTCCGCTGCGGTCGTAAGTCGTGAGCTTGCCGTTGAGGTCCGGCGGTGCCCACTGCGATCTATCATAGCACTTCACTGCGGCCTAAAGCGCGCTCGCGGTTGAGGTCCGATGGTGCCAACTGCGACTCGGGGTTGAGGCAGGTTGAGGCACTTGTGGTTGAGGCCCGGTGGTGGGCCTCAACGCCTGCACAAATCTTGATTTGAGTTAGTTTTGAGGTTTTCTGGGGAGGGTTGGGCCCTTTCCTGGAGAATGTCAAAACATATAGTCCGGCCACGGCGTTTTGTAGATGGACTTTTTGTTACATGTTCGAAGCAAGCCGGAGGGTAGGCAGGTCATTTTGTAGGAAGGCAACTTTTTCAAATGATCACTTTGTAGCAACCTCATGTTTGTAAGATCATTGTCAGACTGGTGAGACCCCCGATCAGATCAGAGCAGCAGGTGGAGAATAATCAGACGTTACGAAAGAGTCCCGATGTCATGGAGCCGGAGCTGGGTTGTGGGGTCTGTCATCTTCTCTGTTGTTGCGGGCCCTCTTTGACATCCGTGCATGAAGTCGGTGCCAAGATCCTCCCCGTAGGGTCGTGAACAAAGAACTCCGCAAACAGGACTGTGAAGTACAAAGACCTTGTTCCCAACGCTCAGCTCAGGGAAGCGAAGTGCGCGGGAGCTCACCCAGACCGCGTTCGGGCTCCACTATCCATGTGAGTATTGTCAGCGGCGGTCGGGTCCGGCTATATCGTTGCTATATACAATACAATTTCATGCCTCTCAAAATCCTCGAAGTGCATTTCGACTGCGCAGGGTCGGAGAATCTGGGTGTCCGCGGCGGGTGCTTGTCGCGACTGCGCTCTCGTTGTGGTGCCAGATGCATTTTCGGGCAGGGTGGTCACTTTTAGTGGGAGGCGCAAGGGAAACCTCATGCTTTGGTTGTCCGACTTTTCGTGACAGGCGCAAGGGATCGGAGCGGAAGCAATGTAGCTTTCGCGGCAGGCGCAGCATTTTGGACATGGTGGTGATCTTCGACGCATTCAGTGAATCGTGCGGTTTTCAAAAAGTGTGGCAGGCGCAGTGCTTTGTTGACGTTAAAGTGTCGATTTCGTGGTGGGGCAGCACTTGTGAGCCTCAAAGTGCAGATTTCGTGATAGGCGCAGCGCTTTGTGAACCTCGAAGTGCAGATTTCGTGGCAAGCACAGCACTTTGTGAACCTTGAAGTGCAGATTTAGTGTGTCCCTCGAAGTGCAGATTTCGTGGCAGGCGCAACACCTCGAAGTGCAGATTTCGTGGCAGAACCTCAGATTGCATATCGCGAAAGGTTGGCAACCTTGAGTTTGATAAGCTTTAGCTTAGGAGCAGACTTCTCCCACATGACCTGGTTTTGAAATTTTCCAAATGACTTTGCAGTTGGCCCCCCCCCCCCCCCCATTGGGATCGAATCCACCCTGACCCCTGGGACGAATCACTTCTTTCAATTTTATTTTATCGTTTGGATTCGAATGAATCTGCTGCTGCTTGGTGGTCTGCTGCTGCTGCTGCTGCTGCTGCTGCTGCTGCTTGGTGTGCTGCTGCTGCTGCTGCTGCTGCTGCTGGGTTTGCTGCTGCTGCTGCTGCTGCTGCTGTCGCCGCTGTTTTGTGGTCTGCTGCTGCTGCTGCTGCTGAGTGGTGCCTCGCTGCTGCTGCTGCTGCTGCTGCTTATGCTGCTGGTTTGTGGTCTGCTGCTGCTGCTTGGGGGGTTGCGGCTGCAGCTGCTGCCGACCAACCTTTTGTCCACCCCCCTTTTCTCAAGTTTCGTGGCAGGCAAAACGATTGAGATTGTCACCCCCATTGAAGTTTATTCTACACGATGGGGTAGCTTGAGGCCACTACAGCGATGTCATTTTGACGCGCTAATTTCTGGCGCCTAGACCGGCATTTTGTAGAGCGTTCAATCATACATCTGTGTTCAGATATATGTCATCAATCAAAAGAAAAAAGGTGAAGCTCAAGGACCGCTTTATGTAAAGGGCTAAAACCATGGAAGAAGAGCGGGTCAGGGATCACTGACTGTAGACTTTGAGCGTTTTGTTTCCCAGTCATGTCAGCCAACCAATAAGGAGACCAGGTAGAGTGAACGAAATTAATTGATTTTTTGCCGAAGCAACCATGTTCAGCCATGTTCCTTCAATGTGCGCACATCCAACAGTTTGGTGTACAAATTGGCCATGACCAATAGTTTTCTCTCCAAAATGGTGACCTTTGGCCTGTGAAGCGGCATTCACAGGATTGAGTCAGAACTTGCCCACAGACTTGAGATGACTGCGGATATAAGCCCCTCCCACGTCTGAAAGCTTTGCCAAGGTACTCAGGCGTGGGCAAACGGGTGGGACACGCTCAGCTCGAACGAGAGTCCTGGCGCTCCACCTCTGAAAGCTTTGCCAAGGTTGTCAAGCGTGGGCAAGCGGCTGGGACACCCTCAGCTCCAACGACAGTCCTGGCGCTCCACCTGAAAGCTTTGCCAAGGTTGTCAAGCGTGGGCAAGCGGCTGGGACACCCTCAGCTCCAACGACAGTCCTGGCGCTCCACCTCTGCAAGCTTTGCCAAGGTTGTCAAGCGTCCTCAGCTCCAACGACAGTCCTGGCGCAGGCCCTGGCTGTTCGAATGACCGGGTAAGAAATCCTCCCAGGCTAGAGATGGATTGCCCCAGAACCCTATAGTTCCCCCAGAGTGGCAATAGCCCAGTTGCACGTCGACAACAATCCCAAATGTAATTGCGCAGGTGGCACGGCTGAATGTTCGACACATGGAGCTTGAGGCCACTACAGCTCACTCTCACTCTCACTCTCACTCTCACTTTGACTCTCACTCTCACTTTGACTCTCACTCTCACACTCACTCACTCACTCACTCACCCACCCACCCACCCACCCTCACTCACAGTCACTCACACACTAACTCTCACTCTCAGTCTTCACACTCACACTCTTCACTCTCACATCACACTCAAACTCCGACTCACTCTCGCACTCGCACTCTCACTCTCACGCTCACGCTCACTCTCGCTCTCCTTCTCACTGACTCACACTCACACTCATAGTTGTACTCACAGTCACACTTACTCACTCACCACCACCGCCACCATCACCACGATTGGGTCAGCCTGGGTCATTCCACGGAGTCTTGGAGAAAGACATTTTGTCGGACCGTTGGCTTTCTGCAGCAAATTTTTGGTTATCGCTTTTTGCAGATATATAAGCTTTCTGCAAACCAAAGGCAGGGCTATACTGTATGTATATAATTATTCTGAATTATGTATATATATATCTATATATACTGAGGAAAAAGATGTATGCAAGGGTGTCTCAATATGGTAGGGCCGCAAGCACCGCGAGAAGGGAAATGAAGAGAAACAACATGCGTGGCTTGTGCACTTTGTGTTTTCCAAGGTCTACTTTTGTATGACTTCGTCCAATACTTTCAGTCGAAAACCATGCTCTCAGTGCCGCTGTGGGGACTGCGAAGCGGTGTTGGCGCCCTGTGAGGGAACATGTTGCCAAACTCCTTTAGAGACCTCCAAATCCATCCTCACCTCATCCCCATCCTCATCCTCACCTAGATGTCGATCTCGTCGTGAGTTGGGCCCCGATTCACTGAGACCCTCACGGCGTATTTGGGCAGCTCTCCTCCATGGCCACTGGCAGTGCATCTTCAGACACGACTGTCCTTTGCAGGCGCCCGTTGGTTGAGCACGGGCGTTGACACAGTAGGCCCCAGCTGCGGTTCCCTAGTTGGCGGTTTTTCAAGACGTGTGTGGAAAACATATTTACGGTTTGGCTTGCTGGAAACAAAGTTTGGGTTCCCCTTTTAAACAAATAGTTTTGGGACTTGATGCCAACTTCTCTATAGGATCTACTACCGAGACCTCGACCAACAAGTCCATGCCAGAGAAACATCGCACAAGAGGAGCCTCCCTTCACTTGGCATGTTTCTGGACCCCCCTACGCACCTGACTTTCTCCAATTCTCCGGACTCCTGCACCTTCAGGTCTGCAGGTGGACCTTCCTCTCCAACGGGGTGTTTTGATATGCTCCTCCTCCGGTGGACGATGGCGAAGGGTGCTGCGTGCCACGACGCCTGGCCATGGCTCAACGGTCCCACCATGTGCATCAGAGTTTCTGTTGGGGGCCCGGGTGGCCGAGGTCGACCATGAGCTTTGGATCTATGTCATGGTCGACCATGGTGAAAGTGTATTGTTGCGTCGCACGGTTGATTTGGTGGATGTCGCTCAATGGATCTGAGTGCGATGATTTACTTTTTTCGGACTACTTCTTCCAGTTTTGTATGGGTGCAAGTGCTGGGGGGGGGTGTATGGAGCCAGGACCGCGAAGCGGCTGCCCCCAAGACACAGGAGTTGCACCTGGTTCCACCCTGCAGATTTTGAACTACGCTTACTTTCCATGCACTTCCACCTGGGGCCGAACTGAACCAATGCTTTGGAGTCATGCAAGGTAGGTGATTGACCTCTCAAGAGATACCCCCTTGAATGCACGGGGAATCACCGAAGAATCCTCCCAATTTCTATGGGATTTTGGAGAATCCTCCCACATCCGCTCCCAACCTTCCTGCTTTGCCCTCGCGCCGCCATGCGCCATGCACCAAGGGCCATGGACCCTGCGGATGCCCTCCGCTCCTGGGTGAACACCGACGACATCGTACGGACGTGCTGCCGAATGTCGCTTTCGGTTTTCCCCAAAAGGTTTGCTCCGATGTCGGTGTCAATGTGTTAAACAAGAGACAACATCAGAGGCAGTGCGTGGCACCGCTTTTGGGATGCCCAGGCTTTTTCGCCAGATACCGACAGCTATGGGGTTCTTCTTTGCACGCTTTTGAGACAGGGTGTCGGTGCCGGGTGCTGGTGCTGCCTGTGGGGCTGGTGCTGGGTGCTGTGAGCTGGCTGTGCGCGTGGTGGAAACAGGGTGCCGGTGCTGGGTGCCGGTGCCGGGTGCTGGTGGAGATTGGGTGCCGGTGCCGGGTGCTGGTGCTGTACTGTACCGCAGCGTTTTTTCCAGTGTAAACAGGTTCATGTGTGTGCTTTGGAGCTGCTGCCAATGCAGGGTGCAGTCCAGAAAAATCTTTCACTTTTGCATGTTTTTGCTATCTGGGGTCTATGCTGGTGTATTTGTTTGTTTTTCAGTTCGTTGAAAGAAGTGGATACTTCAGCGATCTTAAACCCTGGTGACGACCCTTACATAGCTCCTATATCCTGAGATTTCCCTCACTGAAGCTTGTCCAGCTGAGAGCCGAGGTGCATCAAACGGCTTGAGTGCCTGTGCAGTAGCGCGGCAGTGGAGATGGAGTCTGCATGTCTTGCAGCAGCTGGAGAGGCCGAATCAGATTTGCTGAGACAAGCAACTGATGAAGTGAAGAGTACCTAGGAACCAAGGGTGGATTATAAGCACACACACATGCACACTTGACAATCGCATGACTGGATCAAGAAAATCGCGAAAGATCGACTTGCTGCCGACAACCGGGTCTTTCAAATCACACCGGCAGAGATCGACGATTGATTCCATTCATGTGACAAGTGGTGGTAAAATCATGTGGCTTGTGGTTGTGGGTCAAAGCCTGGAGCCCATTTCACTGATGGATTGACCTCCCTGGCAGTATATGTTGTTCAACCCAGTCAACCAGTCAACCCAGTGGCGGACCCAGTTTTGACCCACAGCCATGTGTTTGACACAGGCGGACCTCCAGCGATGCGGTCTGTGTGCATGGTGCGGCCAAGGGTTGCACTTCGAACTGGGCTCTCTCACTGCAAGTGCTGCATCGCAGCTGGGAGCGGAGGCGACGAATGGTACCTGGAACGGTGGATGGCGGTGTGGCAGGAAGAAGGAGACCCAATCACCCCAAAGCAGCGGTGTATAGCAAGTCGAATGAAGGGAACGCATTAATATATGAATTCGATCTGTGGATGTCGGTTGCAGTTGGAATGCTAAATCGAAACCACCGGGTGTGGGGGTTGCCCTAGATAGATGTACGGCGATTTCACGATTGACATTGACAATGATTGCACTTGCACCAGCGCGAAACTGCTAAAAATAAAGGTGTGCCAACTTGACGCTTCAGGTGTGCCCAAGGCTCAGACCCTGGAGACCCAGAAAGAAGCGGAGACCCTTCAAAGAGCGTATATCTGAAAACGCACCTCCCACACGAACGAACCGAGTGAGACCACGGGGGAACCAAACGAGTGTTCACACACAGTTCGCTCCCATGGAGCCGAAGGAGCCGAAGGAGCCGAAGCGGTCGTAGCACGTCCGGGGCGCCCCCGTCGCGCTCGTGAGATCCGATCAGCTCGATGGCAGGATCAGGCGAGATGTGGTGGGATATGGCACCCTGATCAGCCCCTTGGGGCAGCGTTGGTGCGCTCCAGACGGTTTAGGTGGTGCTTTTGATCGACCACTTCGATCGGTCCGCCGTACGACAGGGGTTTGAAGCGTTGTGGATGGCTCGTGTCGATGGGTCGGGGAGGGTTGGTGGCGAATGAACTGACATCCCTGGTGGTCACCACCAGGTGACCCTCCCTGCACAGAACCACATAGAACCTGTGTCCACCCCTGGGTGGGAACGATGAGACTAGTCACTGGTCTTAAAACGCAGGGGTCCTTTGACAACGGCTCCAGTTGTTTGTCTGGTCACGGTCGTGCCACCGGAGGCTTTTCGGGTCTTGAGGTGCCACCGAAGGACCTGTTGGTGAGACTCCTGTGTTCGCCTTGCTTGGTTGGTTGGTTGTGCTTGGACCCTCCAGGACACCCTGAAATTCGAGATCCATCCAGCGCAGAAGATCACCACACCAGGGATCACAGAGCTCGGGGTGGTGTTTGGTCAAGTCTGACACCCCGTCGCTGATCCATCTGCTGGGAACGATTCAGATCGCGAGAATTCTCGATCCCCTCGTTCAGACCATTTCTCTACTGAGAAGAACGCTCATCGCATCCATCGATTGGACCGCATCCTTCTCATCTTCATGTCACCCCCAAAACCTGGAGCAAAATTACACACCTCACGGATCCTCACAGATCATCACATCACACCTTCTTCCAACTTTGGGATCATCACACTGGGTCCAAACCTGCCGGGGCGATCCTCTTCGACTGCCCTCCTCGCACCGAACCTCCGCACCGTCTTGCGCCGCCGCACCGGTCGACGGCGAGGTGCCGTGGAGTCGTGGCCGATGGCGCTGCGATGCCTGGAAGAGATGTCCCTGCACGAGGTCCGTGGCGCGGAGCCGGAGCCGGTTGGAAGGGATGGTACAGTCTTGGATGAACACCAGGAAAAGCCGCCATTGGAATCCTCAAGGGATGAAGATGGTGGTGTTCCATGGTTTTGCACGACTTTTGGATGGAGTTACTGACTGACGGTAGGAACATGATAATGTTCACCCAGCAACCGACTATAGTGGGAGAATGTGGGAGAACATGGGAGAACGAAAGTAATCCTCACGCCTCAAGGAATCTAGGCCCAATTGAATCTACAAGCCTAGTCAAGCCTTCCAAATTAAGGAGGGCAGGACACACGTGCCACACAGGCCACAAATGTGTTTGTGTCCAGAGTGAAACTCTCTTGAAGCACGTTCGACATCCTTCAACTAAAGAGTGCATTTTCCTGCTTGCTTTTTTCGTGTTGCTTCATACCCTGATGATGCTGGAACTGGTTGCCCTTCACCCCAGTCATCCCCCAAAAACGGCCATCGTTTTTTCATGCTTTTCTTGCTGGGGTGATCTACTGCCTCCAGTTCGACCTCCTTCCACTTTCACACCTTTAAAGTTCCTTGGCAGATCCTTCGACCTCCGCCAGGTCTCCGCTTCCCGCGTGGCGCGCAACGCCGCGCTCGCGGCCGCGGCCCCGGCGCCGGGCGCGTCGGTCGCGGAGGCGAACGCGGAGGCGACGGAGGCGACGGAGGCGACGTGGCGCCGGGCAGTGCAGCTCTTCGGAGCGGAGCAGCAACCAGGTGGGTTTGGGCTTCTTGGGATGGGAAGGGCGTTTCTCCTTCTTGGTCGAAGTCCATCTGGTGTTTTTTCCCATTGATCCATGCCCCCAATGCCAAGTGGCAACTCAAGAGCACCAACGCTAGAAGAGTTGCTTTATGCTTGCATATTTATATGAAAAAAACATGGCTGTTCACAGCGCTTCACAGCCATTGGGCCCAAATGGGCCAGACAAGTCAAGGCTCATTGATCAGCAGCTTCAATCTCCAAAGACTTTGTTATACTTTTAGGGGATCGTCCGCCGTCCGCCCAGCCTTTTTGGTGAATCACTTCCACCTTGGCAGGGGAGATCACTTTCCGAGCGCTGCTGGGATCTTTGGAAGAAAGTGGCCAAGATGCCCGGGCACTGGACCTGCTATGGGCCGCCGACGCTGCAGGCGCTACCGTGGTACCGTGGGGTGTGGGTTACCCTTTTTGTTGCGCGAAGGCGTTGTTTGGAATGAAAAGGTGTTTGCTCTGTGACTCTTGTGTGTGGAGGGCTTTCTGTTGTTTTCTGGAGAGGTGCGGTGGATGCTTTCAGTGGGAGAAGTGTTGGGATGAGGCTCAGCTTCACCCTCGCCCTGCAATGCACAATTGTATCTATATATTTGGTATTAATCCACCTTCTTGGGGGGTTGATGGCTGGAGACCTGCGGAGTGGACACCTTAGTTCCAATCCCACTGAGGTCCCACTCAGACTCGACTTCAAGACTTCACTTTTCACCTCAACATCTACTTTTCTCCAGAGAAAAAGACACACACACACACCGAATGCCTGAAAAGGGCCTCTTCAGCCATCCGCCTTTCCGACTCCTAGCTCCCCATCCCCTCCTTGCCTACCGACGAACCGACTCCCAGGGACCCCCGAAAACCCGCCACGTGACCTCCGTGCCGTGACGAAGGAGTGGTGACCTCCGGCTCCTTCTACCTCTGGGCCTTGGGCCGCTTGGGCGTCGCCGATCCCAGGTGTCTCCAGGATGCGCCGCTGGGCCGCGGACATCGACTCGTTTCGGGTGGAATCGAGAGTGAAGGAAAGCGGTGCTTGGTAGAGCGAAGGGAACTGGTCCGGAGCGGAGCTTGGCCAAACACCATCCAAAACACCAAATCTGCCACTGCCAGGTGAGAAAACAACGTGAAACAACGTGAAACCCCGTTTCCGTCCCTAGGGATCTGCACGTCCCGCACGTCCCAGACCTTCCTCCGTTCGTCCCAGCTATCGCCGGGAGAGGTTGCGTTTTGCCGTCCAGCGTTTGCAGACCGTCACCTCCCCGCAGGACCGTCTTCCGGTCTTTTCTGGGTTTCCGGTCGGAAGAAGGTGTGTTGGTGTTTATCCGGTCGTGGCGAGCGGAACCGGATGGAAGTCGCTAAGTGTTTTCGATGAGCAGTGGGTGACATCTGCATTCTCAGATTGGCTACTGAAACAGAAGAGACGTGGCCGGGGGTGGAAGCTTGCCAGAGCTTGTGGAAGAGAAGTGATTCTCAGGTTCAGAAAGACCTTGTCACTTGTTGCCTTTTTCACGACACCACAGGGTTTTCGCCACGGATTTTACTGCAGGAACTCGCCACTCTGCTGTGGTCAGCATCTTCACTGGGCATCAGCTCCTCGTTTTTGACGATGACGTCTCTGGTGCCAATGGGCCGGCCTTTTTGGGGTTTGACCCAAGCACGACCTGTCTGGGACTGGCATATTTACATACAGACAGGGGTGGTTTTAAGGGTCAATGTAGGCATATATACCATACATGGAGTGTCTGGGTGATCTTTCATGCAGTTTGCTTCTCAAAGACGACATCAGCACAACATTTGTGAGCTATCACCCTGTGCTTCTAGCTGTTCTTTCAGAGCATCCGCATCCACTTCCGGATCCACCACCAGTTGCTAAAGGCAGCGCTCCGCTGACTCAGGCTGTCCACGCTTGACAGCATGGGTCACTGCAGAGTCGAAGCGGCAGCTGCCACTGGGACCAGCGATTGGCCTAGGGACTGACGAATTGCCCTGGGATTTGTTTTTGAAGATCAACTCCAGAAAGATCCTTCAATACCACCGTTTGGACGTGATTTGCATGACACTTCGAATTTTCAGTGGCCACCCTCTTGTTTTAAGCATCCATGAACATGGTGTTGGGCCAGTTCACTCACGCAAAGATGGTTTAACCTCCATGTCTCCATTAGACCCAACTGGTTGGGCGGAGGTTGGATTCCTCCATTTTGGCGGTCAGGAGGTCCAGTTCTGCCTTCACCACGCCCAGTTCTGCCTTCACATTGACAGACCTGCTCTTCCTCGCCCTGGGCTGTGGCGACCTCCTCAGCACCGCCTTGTACGCGCGCGACGCGTCGTGCCACGCGTTGCAGCTGGGTGACGCACTCGTGCAGGTGGGACGCAGGGCGGCAGGTCTACACCTTTTGCGAATTCTCTTGGGGATGGCCCCCTCCATGAGTGAAATCCGAAGACCTTCCGCCGGTGGTGGTGACCTCCACTCCACTCCACTTCGAGGATTTCCGAGTGTAATCCAATTGGATTGAGGGTTCTTTGATTTCCCTCATCAACAAGTCCTGGGGGCCAAGAATCATGCAGTGTCACTGTCCCGTTTTTTTTGGTGACATGTCTTCTTGGTTGTTTGGTTTGGGACCAAGGGCAATCTCTACATCACCAACAGGCGGTTTGCTAGCTATATTAGTTCGTTGTATATTCACACTGGTGTGGCAACAAATCCATGACTCAAGGGCAAGATGCAAGGTCCCAAAGTTTTTGGTGACGGACTATTCTGGCTTCATTCTGCCCCCAGCTGGGCGGTTCATGCGTGCATGCACCACCAGGAACTGACCGTTGGATGGTGGCACCAGTTGGTCCGTTGGTCCCGTACGGAGATGAGAGCAGCTCCACAGTTGAACGAAGCTAGTCGTATGATTGCCGAACGTTGATTGAGCTGAAACACCATGGCTGCTGTTCTGGCTGTTCCGTCATGAAACCAACATGCGTCACGGGGTTGTCATGGTTTCGATGTTTGTTCCGCCTGAATGAGATGTCTCGCTCGTGTTGCTTCGCTCGTGCTCGAACGCTAATGCCGCAGGAGCAACTGCGGCGCTTCCAGCGTTGGCAGGACATCCCCACTGCAGCGCTGCCGACCAGCTCTGGCGCAATTGCGCAGATGGCAGAGGAACTGGCAACTGACGGCGCTTTGGTGGGGGGTAGAAAGATCAATTGAATACAGTATTGAAGAAGACTTTTACCGTGCTTTGTGGAATGTTGTGAGCCAAGTCAATGATGTGAATGCAACATTTTGTGCACATGTTTGATGTGAACAGATGTGAAGCAACTGAGGATTTGAGGAGTTGAGTACTACATAGTTCGTTTGGATTTCTTTTTCGTTGCGATTTGTGTATAGCAAGTGTGGAATACGTCCTTTCATCATGTGGATCTCCGACGGTTTTTAGATCAAGACTCCAGTGGAGTAGAGATTGATCTCGAAGACATTGCTGTTTTCGATTTATACACAGAGTAGCCGTGGCCATGAAGGTTTCATTTCGGCAGCTGAACGGTGAAGCCATAGTTCTTGAAGTGATGCCAGACACCACCATTCAAGACCTGAAGGAGCAGATCAAACAGTGTCAGCATTGGGACGATGCGTTCACACGCGTAATTACCACAGTGGACATTGTCATGGGGTCGAGCAGATTCTTGGCGAATCATGAGACAGGTGCAGATGCAGGCCTTTCGCCAGAATTAGAAGCGACCGTAGTTTTCCGACGAAATACAGTGACCTATAAGACCTGCTCCCACCAACGTGAGATTGCCAATATGTCCAGCGAGGTTGGCTTCGGATCTCTAGTCGTGGTTCAAATCCCAAGTGGTGCAACTGTAATTGTTCAGCGGGCCTTCAGAGGCTGCAGCTCGTTGGCAAGTGTGACCATCCCGGACTCAGTGATCCAGATTGGGCATGGAGCCTTTAGAGACTGCAGCTCGCTGGCGAGTGTGACCATCCCGGACTCAGTGACCCAGATTGGACGTGAAGCCTTTAGAAGTTGCAGATCGCTGGCAAGTGTGACCATCCCCAACTCAGTGACCCAGATTGGAAGTGGAGCCTTCAGAAGTTGCAGCTCGTTGGAAAGTGTGACCATCCCGGACTCAGTGACCCAGATTGAAAGCGGAGCCTTTAGAAGTTGCAGCTCGTTGGAAAGTGTGACCATCCCGAACTCAGTGACCCAGATTGAAAGCGGAGCCTTTAGAGGTTGCAGATCGTTGGCATGTGTGACTATCCCGGACTCAGTTACCCAGATTTCGGATGATGCCTTCAGAGACTGCAGTTCGTTGGCTTGTGTGACCATCCACAACTCGGTGACCCAGATTGGAAATGAAGCCTTTAGAGGCTGCAGCTCGCTGGCAAGTGTGACCATTCCGGACTCAGTGATCCAGATTGGATTTGGAGCCTTTAAGAGTTGCAGCTCGCTGGCAAGTGTGACCATATCCAACTCTGCGACCCAGATTCAGTATCATGCCTTCAGAGACTGCAGCTCGCTGGCAAGTGTGACGATCCCCGAATCATTGACCCAGATTGGGAATGAAGCCTTTAGAGGCTGCAGCTCGTTGGCTTGTGTGACCATCCCCAACTCAGTGACCCAGATTGGAAGTGGAGCCTTTAAAAGCTGCAGATCGTTGACAAGTGTGACCATCCCCAACTCCGTGGCCCAGATTCGGGATGAAGCCTTTAGAGACTGCAGCTCGTTGGCTTGTGTGACGATCCCCAACTCAGGGACCCAGATCCGGAATGCAGTCTTTAGAGGCTGCAGATCACTGGCAAGTGTGCCTATCCCCAACTGAACCAGATTGCTTTTCGGTCTCATGCCATTGTAGGATGCAGTGTTTTGACTTTGGTAGTACCCATCACTCGGACCAGGCTGGCGTTTTGATGCCTTGACGGGTTGCAAACGGATTCAAGTTGATTCAAGCAACCGAATGCGAATGTCAAAATGTGCGAGTACAGCTGGTTTCTGAACCGCCTCTGTGCGTCTTCAACACTGGCAATCTTGTTTGGTGGTGGTGGGTTTGGTCAGTGCTGAAGAAATCTGACGCGCTGCCCTAAAAGCTTCGATGGAAGATTGAAGGATGCCGGTGTTCTCTTTATTTGAATCAAGTTTGAGTGATTTATCATAAAGCGAACGACCTTTGTCTTTCTCTACATTCCGGGTCACCTACCTAGACCCACTGACCGCACGACATGTTTAGAACTTAGACCACTCTACACATGCGGGGCTGCACCTGAACACCACGACACATTTTTCATGGGGTCGTCTAAGTGTCGTCTGATTTACGGGTCCATGGCACTGACACCCGGGGGCTTCGGATGGCTGAAGTCAATAGGTTCACCGTGATGGTTTCGTTTCCTCGAGCGAAACGCCAGGAGATGCTCGGAGTGGTGGCTTGGGCGGCTCTAGTGGCTGGAATCAGGTGTTAGGTTTTCATGGGTGAGCTTCAGCGGTGGAACCAGCGTGGCGCTGGTGGCACAGGAGTTCTTCCCCTAAGTCAATGATTCACAGGGGAAGATGGCGTCACGAACTTCACATTGAACAGTTGGTTCCCATAATATGGGGACACAGCAGTGAAACACAGACGACTCTGGAGGTTTTTTGTCCATTCTTGTGTGTTCTTGTGTATTCCCCCAACATTATATATATATATAAATAGTTTAATTCATTTGTTTGCCCTTTGTTGGCAGATACATTTTGCCTCTTTAAGCATTTTCCGACATCCCAGCCAGCAGCGAACCAGGAGAAAAAGCCTGCAAGAGATTTCAGTTCTTCAAGAGAAACTCCATCACACAGGAGCTGCAGGATACCAGGATTACCAGGATACCGTAAAAGCACAAACCCAAAGTGGTGGAGCTCCATATGGGGATGGGATGGGATGGGTGGCTTCACCCTTTCAGCCCGACCAGTCCACCATTTGCCGTCCTCACGACCGTATCGCCGGTAGGTCGACCGATCGGTCTCCGAAGCGATCCTCGCCCACGTGACGTCTGCCCGCGCGCCTCTCGCGCGACGCGCGGAAGACGCGCGGAACACGCGGACGAGGTCTGGGCGTTGAACTTCGCTCGCCTGGGAGCCTCCTTGGGCTCTCCTGCACGGGCGGCCATGCGCAGGCGCACGCGGAGGGTGAACGTTGGATCGTTCATGTTACAACTCAAGACGCGTGGCAAGCCAATCCCAAGCGGTGTCGAGTACAAGGGATGTTGGATGGCGTTGGGCAAAAGCAGGATTTTGGATTTGAGCCAAGAATTCTGATGGGGATGATGTTATGATATGTTTTGATACTTGATTCACCACAAGCATTTGGGAGATCTCTCCGACATCCATGCCTCAGGCAGTGACAGATTGGATAGGGTGGGAACAGACTTAGCCCATGGGCGGGTAATGATTGGCAAGAACCCTGGCTCCAATCTGGGGTGCCCTATCCCTAGTGAGAAATGAAGCGCAAGGTGACAGGTGCCAGACTTGAGCTGCATTGGGTTTGTGGCCAAGAAAAGACCCAGATGCCTTGGACTGGGAAGGCGAAAGAACTATCCTCTATCGGAGGATGTCGACCTGCCGGCATCTCAGTCTCAGCTGAACCGCCGTCAGCCGGTTGAGCAAGAGAGCGCCAGCCACTGGCTCCTCGCATTCTCCCAACCCAGGAGCCAGATGAGAAGTTTACGGGCCGAAGCATGCACAGGCTGTTTCGATGAAGAACACGCGTTTTTGGAGTTCTACTTCAACCATTTTTCCAGCACCCCACCATCTGAAAAAGCTCCAAAAGCCACCCTGCCGCAGGTTGTCCCAAATCTTGGATGGGCCGAAGGTGAAGCGCCTGGCGCAGCAAACCATGGTGCCGGCGGAGCCCCTGTCATCGGATGCTGGGTGCCTTCTTTAGATCTTTTTGTTTTCGTGTCCGGTTGTGCGAGTCTCTCCCTTCCTGTAGAAAAGAACATCAAAGAACCCAAGTCTGATCAGTCTGCTGAACGGAATTGGTAAGTCTCAAGACGGGCAGAAAAGGGGATGGATGGGCCATTTTAAACTTAATTTTTTTTGGGGAGGTGAGATCACTTGGGTAGGGCTATTGACCCGTCAGGTAGCGGCCGTTTTCTCTGAGTTCACTTGAGAACCGAAGACCGGAAAGGGTAGTTAGTTGTGACGCTCAAGGGTCGCCTCGTATATAACAGTCGAAAAGGAAAGAGTCTGTCAGTATGTCCGCGTTTTCTCTACGACCCTGAATAGCAGTAATTAGTTCTTGTGACTCTTGCGACACATCATGTCACACTTAGTGAAGACGGGTGTTTTCACCATTTGCGACCTGTCTCACCCAGCATCGAAGTCGGGGACCAGCACAGCAGCAGAGCTGCTTCGGAGCAAGTTTTCCGTGCTCCCCATGTCCGAGTTTGCAAGTCATATAGGGACATAGCAAAAGGAACATACCAGGAGTCACAAAGGGGTGCTTTATGGAGGTTAGGGGTGCCCATATTCCACTCACATAGGGACCAAACACCACCCCGACATGTGACTCCTGGTAAAGGAACATCTTGTGCTCTCGCACCACGGTGTCGGGATGGTGAATGGAACAAAAACATGAAGCAATACGAGACGCCCTTCGCCGTGTCCGGTCACCACCCGAAACGCTGGTGATGCTGGTGAAAAAAACGTGACATCGTCTTGTGTCCTAGGTAGGAGGCTTCTTCATTCTGAGAGTTGAGACAGATCAATATATCTTGTTTTATATCGGTATATAACCTAGATAGACAAGTCTTGGAGGCCACTAGTAGCTGGTTCATGGAGTCATGGTGGGTTTCAATGAGAAATCTCTGAGGATGCCTTCCAGGAGAGCATCACGCTGCGCTTGGTCGACGACAAGCCTGTGTGGATCACTTAGTGCCAGTGTTTGGCCTGAATTTGCCTCTGTGTTTCTTCTTGTTCCTGGCAGGTGAAAAGGGAATCCTCCATGCTTCACTCGGCTTTGCATCTGAATTCCACCATTTTCTTTGCAGTTCAAGCTTTAATTTTTGCCATGGCGCTCTCTTTCGCCCCACCTGGGACAGCGCCGCTGGAGCGCCCGCCTCCACCGCGTCATTGCGCGAGCCCGGGCGGTGCGACCAGTGCCAGCCGCCCCCACCGGGCCGATGCCCCGGTGCTGCTGGCGGCCTCCGTGGCCGCCGTCGCGCGGCGCAGCGCGCGCCGCGCGCGCCGTGCCGCTCTCGTGGCGGGCGAGGTGCCGCAGGTGAGGCGGAGGCCGCAGGAGTCACGGGCGGCGGTGGTCGGACGGCAGATGAAGTTGGCCTATTGGATGTACATGGGCCCTGCGCACATTGGCACCTTGCGGGTGGCCTCTAGTTTCAAGAACGTGCATGCGATCATGCACGCGCCTCTGGGGGATGACTACTTCAATGTCATGCGCAGCATGCTGGAGAGGAAGAGGGACTTCACCCCGGTAACCGCCAGCGTGGTGGATCGGCACGTGTTGTCGAGAGGGAGTGAGAATAAGGTGGTGGACAACATCACCCGGAAAGACCAGGCTGGGAGTGAAAGGGGACCTGATGGGTGGGACCGGATGGGTTTCTTGGAGCGGCTGGACCCGAAACCCTAAACCCACGACTACAGGGACTGTAGAAGTGTTGATTGGTGATTGAAATGCTTGCTTGCCCTCGTATCCCTTGTACATGTCTGTTTCCAGGGAATATCTCAGCCATATATGCACTGGCTATGGCCCATGGCTCTCCCTTAAGCAGCTCGGCATGTGCAACATGGCGCCTCGCGGCGAGTCTGCTGCTCGCGGGCATCCTGAATCCGCCTGCTGGGGTCAGGAAGAGAAGCCAGACCTGATCATTCTGACCCCAACTTGCACCAGTAGCATCCTGCAGGACCGTCCACGGGAATCTGACCCGGTGTTCGAGTGGACTTTCGCCCAGTTCACCAACGATCAAGAGAATCAGGGTGGCCTCGGGTAAGGACTCACCAGTTTGGGGGTGAAGACTCAGTTTGGGGGCAAAGACTCAGTTTTTTGCACTTTCCGCTGTGGTTGTGGCTTTGGAATCCACTGTGAGGCCTGACCAGTTGTCCTTGGAGATTGGCCGAACATGTATTTTGGGCATGTCTTCACCCAGACGTGCCGGTGGAGTCTTTCATGACCATCACCGGAAGGATCCTCTCTCTTCACCGGGCACTCGGTGCCCAACCCCGTTCTTCACGCACCAGTCGCCGGTCTCAAGGGGTTTTCGACCACAATGGGTCTTCGAAGGGTCTTGACCAGGAGGATTTAGCCAACTTCTGCAAGCAAGCACGGTGTCTGGGCGATTTTGGGTTTGGCCAGGAACCGAGGAAACGAGATCATGAAACCCTCCCAAAGGAGGAAGACGGGGGGAACGTTTGCCGGTGTTGCCGGGAGATGAAAACTGAACACCAAGACAAAAAACGTGGGATGGTGCATCCCTGGGTCGGCTGTTAAGTGGCTGTGACTTTTGGGTTCGAAGCACACGCAGTGACCAAGCAGCTTCTTGCTGTTTCATCCAAGCAGCTATTGCGAATGCCCCTACCAGGCAGTGACCTCATCCAGCCCCCCCCCCCCCGCTGGGTCTGCGGTGAAGAAAGGGTCCGAGTCGGCGCGTCGTCACATCGATCGCGCGGCGCGTCCGAACCAAAGAGCATCACGAGAAAGAGACCGTCCCGTCACGAAAAAACACGAAAAAAGCAGCACGAAAAAAGGCCCGAATCAATGAACAATCACCTGAAAGATGGAGAAATCACTTAGCACAATGCCCAACAATCTGCCAGGCGTGTGATTCCCAACCTGCCACGCTTTCGGTTTGGTCTCCACCCAGAGCGTTGTAAGGTACAACACCCAGAGTGATGTCTTGCTGGCAGATGTGAACCACTACCGGGTGAACGAACACCAGGCGCGTGGAAAAATTGTTCTGGGCCACTGGGCGCGGATGTTGAAGGTTCCGGAATGTTTCGGCGCACGTGTTTCTTTGGTCTTTATGAGCTCAGAAGAAGAAGAAGAAAAAAAAGAAGAAGAAGAAGAAGAGGAAAGGAATGAAGACAAAGAAGAATAACGGAATGAAGAAGAAGAAGAAGAAGAAGACAAAGAAGAAGAAAGGAATGAAGACAA